AGTGTAGCTCTATTACATCTGCACGCAACTATGTCATTAAGGCATACGGAATAACCAAAGATCCGGAGACTGACGAGTTCTTGATGGTTACACAACACGCAGAATTAGGGGACTTACGAAACTTTTGTAACAATTATAGCGACGCACAAGATAATAAATGGTGGAGCGAAACAATTATTGAAATAATGTATGGTATTATTAAGGGACTTAAGATTATTCATGGGGAAGGATTAGTTCACAGAGATTTACATTCAGGAAATATATTAATACATGGACAAGCATTTAGTTCTAAGAAATATTCATGTATTGGAGATCTTGGATTATGTCAAGCGATGGATCTTACACCTTCGGGAACCGTAGAAGGAATTCATGGAGTCATTCCATATATGGCACCCGAAGTGTTATGCGGCAAAACATATACTCAAGCATCAGATATTTATAGTTTTGGAATGATAATGTGGGAAATATCATCAAGAAGACAACCATTTTGTGATCGAGCACATGATGAAAATTTAGTTGTTGATATTATAAATGGAGAACGTCCAGAAATACTTGCGCATATGCCAGAACCTTATGTAAAGTTGATGACTCGTTGTTGGGATTCAGATCCTTTAAAACGTCCTACAGCTATTGAAATTGGAGAAATTCTTGATTTTTGGAAAAAATGGTGCCTCACCACGACTTTAAAAGTTAACGAGGATTTATTAGAGAAATTTAAAGATGAAAAAACGAAAATGACACATCCTAAAGCTGTTTATACTAGTAGATACCTTCGGTATCAAAAGATTGGTGAATACCTTGATTTATGGGAATTTCAAGGTATGCTTACTGTTGTTAATGTTGTTAATGTTGTGGTTAATGTTGTTAATTGTAACAACCAGACGCGTATATCTATTCGATAACGTTAATATTTCTTTTTATATATATTTTTTAGAGGACACACGTGAAAATAAGAATCTTCTTGGACCACAACCGTGGGTTAAAAAAGATTTAAAAGGTACGTAATACTTGTATTTATACGCGTATATGTTTTTAATAGTAAAGAATGTAATTTAATTTGAAATATTGTATTTATTTTTAATTGTTATACGTAATAGGCTTTGATATGATAGCCGTTCCACAGTAATGGGAATAAAATGCTTAGTGTTAATATCAGATATAATGAGTTAATTTTTCATGTAAATTTTTTTTTATTTGTACAACATTAACATGAATAATCCTCACACATTAGATAAAACTATATCGTTAGAGGATGCGGGCGTTTACATACACAAACTTTACAATTCATAAATTCATACATTCATAAATTCATTCATGAACATATAGCATTATTTCAAATATATATTCAATATTTAAATCATTAACGCAACAAATTTTGTTTTATTACATACTATGTATTTACGTCTTTATTGGTTTATTAAAAGAGCTTGAAAACTTATTTTATTGTGTTGGCTACAAAAGTAACATGACTGATTTTATTTACTAAACCTAATTGAAGTATACTTTGAAGTATACTTTGAAGTATACTTTGAAGTATACTTTGAATTATAGTTGCCATCCAAACCCTAACAATCATATTTTGGGACTAGTTAAAACCTTGGTACTCAGCTTGTTTCAAATTTACGAATTGGGACTTGGGACAAAATTTCAGATACAACCTGTTTGTACAGATAGCAATAACTATTTGGACGGCAACTATACTTTGAATAAAATTTTAATAAACGATTAGATTCGAATTTTCGAATCGTTAAAACCAGAAACCAGAGTTGATCAATTTTTTTCTTTACCTGATTCAAAATTTAATTCAATACCAATAGAATAACTCGCTAATTCGAAGTTCATACATTCCCAAATAGTCATACAGTCATAGTTTTTAGATCATAGTATAGCGATAGTATATGCACATAATGATAATCTTTTGACATTTCAGTATCGTTATTGGTGTAGCGTTGACGATTGTCACATAAATGAAACAGTACTGTATGTACGTATGAAAATTTCGCGCATCAGTAAAATATTGGTTTAAACCTGATTTAATTTTTGTCGATATTATTACTGGTTTATCCCTGTTTTAAAAAATTTTGGCACACTTTAGCGTTAATGATATCGATATCAAACTTATAATACTATATATATACGTAATTGTTAGATTTATTAATTTATACGTACGTACGTAACAAAATTTTTGTTAATTTCTCATTCCTAATTCAGTAATTAATTCAGTAATTAATTCAGTAATCTAATTAGTAATCTATTCACTAATCTATTCAGTAATCTATTCAGTAATCTAATTAGTACGTAATCTACCCAGTAATCTATTCAGTAATTAGGAAATACTTATATGTATTCTCCCGAAAATTACTATATGTAAAAATTATACGTAAATTACATACAATATTATGCATTCTCGTTTTTAAATTTTCTTATTTCTTTTTCTTGTTTTAGGGGCTGAGTACTCACAACAGTGTTCGAGAACATTTTTGTGTTCATTATACAGTTTAGGGATCAGATACGTAATCAGTAGATCACATAACATAATTTAAATTAATTAATATTACATTTTTGATGTTTTTTTTTGATTTGTCGTTATTATTAATTTAATACCGATACTGTATTCTCTGAATAAATAATAATTCTGATCCTACGTAGTGACCATATGTTGTCCCATCATTCTGTAAATGGAAACCTCTAACGCTAATATTATATTAAATTAGTTCCTTACATACAGTATGATAAATATAATTCATGTATTCATACGTATCTATATCTATCGCTATTCTTAACCTCTAAATTGTTGCAAAAATAATTAAACGTTAACAATAATTAATAACGTCAATAACATTAATAATGTTAATAACGTCAATAACGTCGATAACATTAATAATGTTAATAACATCAATAATAACGTCAATAATGTTAATATACATATACAGTACATATATATGTTATACGTATAAATTAACGTTAACATAACGATAATGAAATAAAAAGCTTGTGGCTTTATGGCGGCGTATAGTGGCTGTCATAGTCATACATTACACTATGAAATCGAACTGAAAAATAATTCATTCATTGTTATTACTATACGTAGTTATCCGATTAGATAGATCTTACGATCTTATATGTCGATTGGTTCACAACAGGTTTTCTTTCGAAGAGAATGATGTGAATGACATTTTACATATATAGTAAGTTTATATTACGGGCAATTGAACTTGAGTAATAAACAGATGAATAAATAAGTAGATACGTACGTACGTACGTGGTATTCGCACACGTATGTAACAAAGAAAAACTTAAAATTTTCATAAAGTAACGATAAGTCATATTATGATACCTTAAAAAAACTCTATGATGATTAAAGACAGCATCAAATCTTTGGCAAAAATAAAATAAAATAAAATAAAATAAAAGAGGAAATATAATTAGCCAGCTTGGATTTTGTTTTTGTAAGCGTGTTTAGTAATATATCGGAGAAAGCACAGAATAGAATAATGTAGATCAATTTATTTGTTTAAGAATTTGCTTCACTTCACTGTAATAATTTTGTTACAAGATCAAGCACGTATGATCTCAACAATGAGTATTATCCTATACGTTGAATATTAACAAATACGTACGTACATTTTGTACGCATATACGTAATTTCTTACCTTGTTAGTTTCATCGATTTACATTACGTTATTTGTTCGATCATCACCGCGTTTTCATTTACGTACGCACGTACGTGAATAAATGAAAATGTTACACATTTATTATATTAGTTATTATATTAGTGTTACCTTTTAACGAAACATATAAACTTTTGTTTTCCCGTGATAGACTTATTAATAGACTTATTATTTGCTGTATTAAACAACAAACAGCAATAATAATAACGATAAGCCATGAAATAATCCAATCAAAATAAGCCAACGACGAAATGGTCTTCGCGTTCGTTCTTTCGACGTTACTATTAATTTTAACATTGACAGGGTCTACGTTTAGGTTAATCTAAGTTTGGACCACCAATAACGGTAAGCCACATCGGTCCCTTTTTCTATGTTAAGCCACACGGGCTTTGATATATTTGTTGCTTGTTATATGATATTTCAAGTATTTCAAGTAGTTTCGTGTGCGTTTTACGTAAACGTTTGCGTTTTTTTTACATATAACTGATATAAGTGAGCCACTTTGATCACTTTCGTTATTACACATATTTAACGTTGACGAATTGTTTGATAACGTTGATGAATTGTTGATTAAATTAAAATGTTGTCGTAATTCTGCTTGATTTTCGTAATTCTACAAAAGAAAAAAATAACATATTTTGTAACACTCAAGTCTTGATTATTTTATTTGGTTAAAATATTCGCCATGCTTGCTTTTCATACTTTTTGAGGCTTATCCAAAAAAATTTGTTATTATTCGGTGAAAAAACATGATTTGATTCAAGCAATCACAACTTTTTAATTTCAATTATAATTCCCAATTCAAAATTTTTTTTAATTTTTATTATTTTTATTTATTTATTTATTTTATTTTATTTTTTTTTTATTTTAATTTTACTATTTTTATTATTACTATTTTTTACCTCGAAGTATTTCTTTTTTCATTTTACTTCTTGATTATTAGACTTTTGAATTATTAGACTTTTGATTATTAACCTTTTGATTATTAACCTTTGATTATTAACCTTTGATTATTAACTAACCTTCGATTATTATTAAACTTCAATTATTAAACTTCGATTGTTAGACTTTGATGGTTACGTTAATAAAAATAATTTTACAATGATTCTTAATGATTATATCTCATTTTTGAGAAATATCAAATATTTTTTTATATTTTGTATATTGGTAACTACAACACCGCGATACTCAATAGTAAATTGCGAGTCTGATCATTCTATCCATTTTAATCAATCTGAGCAACGTCTAAATAACAACCGTCGTAATTTCAAATCTACTTTGAGGAAGAGGTCAAGTATTAAAAACAGGGGTGCTTCAAGTGATCAATTAATTCAAACTAGACAAGAAATTCAAACTAGTCAAGATAATGGAACTTTTACCAACGTGACAACATCAAATCAATTAATTAGTGATGGGGCAAATTCTGTTTGTGGAGATCTTTGTATTTTAGGAATTATGATTGGAATAGTTGTTATAATCGTTTTAATCGGTTTTGGTGTATTTTTTGTGATACGAAAAAGAAAAAGAATGAAAATAGGTGTTACTTCAAAACGTATGACACCTAGTTCTCCAACTACTGTAGATGATTTTCTTAAACCATCAACAAGTCCTCCATTATTTGAATCCAGATTAAATGATGAAGCTGAAGAATTTGCTTTAAAATTTCCTCCACAAGAAGAAATTCCTCCAAATGAACATGTTGTATATATTCAAAGTCTTGGTGGTGCAAAAGCTTGGGAATGGGTACCTGATGAAGATTTATTATCTCAACAACTCGTTTCAATAACAAATGAAGGAAGTGTCATCTCTTTTAATAAAAGAATTGATTCCATGGTACAAACAAATTATCCTTTCTTTATACCTCAAACCGAAGGTGATACTATTTATGAACCTCCATTTGAACAACCTGAAACTATGGAAAAAAGAGGTGGTCAAATATTGCATTATTTTGAAATTACTATTAAATCAAATCCAGATATAAAAAATACTACTATAGCTATCGGTCTTGCCACTAAACCTTACCCTCATTTTAGGTATATTCATGTTTAATAATTTTTAATGATTTGATTAATTATTATTTTATTAATTGTTATTTTTATTAATTATTATTTTTATTAATTATTCTTGTTATTATACATTACTTATTATACATTACTTATTATACATAGATTACCAGGATGGAATATATATTCAGTTGGTTATCATTCAAATGATGGAAAAAAATACAATGACGCACCTAGTGGTAGCAATTATAATCAACCATGGGGTGAAGTAGGTGATACTGTAGGTTGTGGATATAATCCAGATGTTGGTCAAGTATTTTTCACAAAAAATGGTCAATTCTTAGGGAATGCATTTACAAATATACGTCATATATGGTTTCCAACTATAGGTGCTAATGGTCCATGTACTATTGAAACTAATTTTGGAGATAATTATGATAAAGAATTTAGATATGAAGCTGCTCGTGGTTATGGACCTGGTGGTCCTTTATTAATTTCTGATAAAAGGCGACCAAAACCTAGTCGTAGTAGTAGTACTAGAAGTACTCATGCTTTAGATAGTCCTCGTATTAGAACCGATTAATTATATTGTTTCCCTTTTTTTTTTTTTTTCTTTCTCTTTTTTATTTGGTGGGAATCTTTTTTTGGTGGCTTTAAATATTAACTTGATAAAGTTTCAAATAGCATTTTTATAATTTTTTTGTAAATAATTATAAATGAAATATCGGTTGTAAAATTCTTTTATATGTAATATGTTGTGAGTGGGAATTGTTAAATTTAGTAAATTTAGGTTTAGTTTAGATTACTGTTACTGTACGTATCAATAACTGTACGTACGTACGTATCAAATATGTATATATACCTTGTATATATTCCTTGTTTATATTCCTTGTTTATTATATCTGGTATATACAAATGACAATGACCTTGATCTAGACCCTACCTCGAAAAAACTTAATCATATCCCTAACTTTAACTTTAATCTTAATTTATTCCTCTGGAATTAATCTTGATTAAAATTTCCCAATTCCTTATTCTTATTTTAAAATTTTTCGTTTCTATTTACAACATTACTGTTAAAACATACTGTCATAGAATTATGCAAAAAGTTAATATTAGCTATATTATAATATATACGTATATAATATATGTTATATATATTGATATATATAATCTATATGACATAATATATACTGAATACGTAAAATATAAATATAATCGTACGTACGTAATAAATGTAATAAATCTTGCATTCGATAGTTTTCGTTATCGTTATGTATTCTAAACAATTGTTATCGCTGAATAATCGACATCCCTGGGTGTGATATGATGTGACATGATGTACGTGCGTACGTAATTGGTTGTGATGACCAGTTCATAAATATGATGTACATTTCGAAACTTCGAATTTCTATCTTCGACAATATTCGATTTTATATTCGACTGTAATGTAACAGTATGTATTACAAACATGATCTATTGAAAATGTTGATTGGTTCAAATTATAAATTATCATTTATTATTCTAATCACATGGACAAATAGTTTCATCTGATTTTCATATGGCCGCAGTATTGCTTTAATAAAAATCCATGTGGCAGTTTAAGTCGATCCTAAGAACGTTATTCTACTTAACAAATAAAAAAAAATAAAAAATAAAAAAAAAAAAAAAAAAAACGAAACCGTTTGATATTCTCCTTGAATCTGATACCTTAAAAAAATCGAGTTCACATTTTCCGAGATGACGTTTCCTACTTTTCTACTTTACGAATTTCTTTTGGATTTCCATAACGATAGAAAGACTCTCTATACTTGTGCATTAGTGAATCGAGAATGGTGTAGAATAACGATTCCTCTTTTATGGAAAAATCCCATAAAATTATTACATGGACCTGATGATTATTATCCATATCATAGATACCGAAATAATCATGTAAAACTTGTTGATACATATTTATCATATCTTAATAACGAAGAGAGAGCCAAGCTTGTTAAAAATGGATTCAAACTACCGTTAAGAACTAACCCTCCAATATTCGATTATATATCTTTCTTGAGATATATTTCAAATGGTGATATTCAAATGATTAGTTTATTCTGGTGTTTATACTTTGATGCTAGCAAGATACCAGTTATAAATCCTTTAAATTCTCTTGGTACTAAACGAAAGGTAAAACCTGCTTCTAGTTTATGGAATTTAGTTCGAGATATTTTTGATATATTCAACAAGAAATCAAGATCATTAACTACCGAAATCGCTCAAGTTGCTCATGCTTCCGTAGTTCCTCCTATGGGTGATGATTTTTATACAACTGATGTATTATTGAAATCCGAAATAATACATCATACTCTTACAAAGTTGATAATAGAACAATGCCCTAATATTAAACATTTACAATCAACTTCAACACTTATTGGATCTAGTTCTAACAGTAATTATACGGAAATAATGTTAAAATATCCACGACTTCATGAATGTCTTACTCATTTAAAGAGTTTTGAAAGTCGAAGTAATTTCTATAGAGGAACTTCATTTGATATACTTTCCAAAATATGTCACGAACTACATAAGATTGAAGTCTCTTCATGTAATCCAACACATTTATCAACTGTTAATGAAAGTAATGAAAATCCAGCTATAATAGAATCTCAAAAATTATCAAATCTTATCAAAGTTCAAAGATGCTTACGTGAATTTATACTTTGGAATTGTAAAGTAGGAGTTTTGGATATTATTTCTTCTTTAGTATCAACTCAACAATATTCAATGCGAGCTCTTTCTTTTCATCATTGCGATTTTCAAAATATTATTTGGTTGCACGTTCTTTCCGATTTACCAAACTTGGAGACTTTAATATTTAATCAATGTATCAATGTTTCTGAAAAAACGTCATCAAAACTTGTGCTCTCAAATCTTAAATATTTAAAATATATTTAT